ACGGAGCTGAGGTTTCAGTGTTTTAGTATTTGTCAAGAGTGAGGCCTTAGATACTTGGAATAGAGGGTTCAGTTAAGGTTTGGGGTCTGGAACAAGGAGGCTCAGTTCTGACTCTGCATATGAGTTTAATCAACATTTTGGGGAACCACTGAGTCCTGAGCCTGTCTCATGGAGAGCTTGTTCGCTCCAAAGCTGCTTGGTTTTTATCAGCCTGGTGTGTTTCCCATTAGCCTGCTTGTCTCTGCGGTTTGCGCGGGGATGCTCAGGTCCAGCTTAGTACACAAGACTTCCAATTATTGGACTTAACTTCACCACGACTATGTATGGAAAGCAGAAGCTGCCGCAAGTTGTCAGTTGGCAGAGCAATGACAAGAAGAGAGGATAGAGACAGGAGAAGACCGAGATACATGATGTCCACTTTGCCCAAAGCATTTGATTTAGACCAATAAAAAGAGATACATTAAACATCCATTCTTGGATTTGTGTGGAATAAATGTTTAAAATAAAACATACAAATTATCTTTTATTCCCCTTCACAGTGCATTTTTTGACAGATGCGACAAATACTCTTGTGCAATTGTCCGGAAAATATGGTAATCTAATGTAGAAAGCTCAAAATGTTGGTCCTGAGTCCACATGCCAGAAGGCTGTTCTGTCTGTCCGTCCATTGTTCCTGCAGAGGACCTCAGCAGTTTTATTCATGCACATGGCAGACACCACGCCAGTGGCTCCGACATGACTCTGGCCGCGGACGGAATGTGTCGGACCTGGGCCTGGTTAACTTCTTCACCCACACATTGTTGTAACGGTCACAAAGTGTCTTTCACTGAAACTCTTGAGCTCGTCAAACACAATGTGTCTGTTCCGCGGGCGTCTCTTTCTCCCTCCGTCCTTGTCTTTGGGCCCCTTTATGGAAATGTTTGGCAGCGTGACCAACTCTGTGTGGCATGCATGCGCATGTCGTCCGTAAGCACAGAGGGCAGCTGTAAAACAAAGTCAAGTGGCGCATTCATAGTTTTGTCGCCCAAAAGAGTGGTCGGAAGCGCTAGAGCGCTGGATTCTGCTCATTCCCGTCAGCTGCGTGCAGCATGTGGGAGTTTGAGAGGAGAACAAATGCTGTTCTTCAGCCACCTTTGGGTTCTATTAGCATTTGGAAAAGTTGGTGTAGCCACACCACACAGAGAACCGTTGGACCTAAATGAATTTCGCTGCTGCAGTTTTAAGCTTTGTCCTGTCAATGGACCCATTGTGCAGGAAGGCCGCCAGGACGCCTGCCCTTCTTCATCTTAGTCTTTCTCCGCCTGTTCGGAAGCAGCACGCCACGCTGACGTCTGGCGGCGCCTCAGCCCTTACATCCATCTTGTCATTTGGCAACTGATGTCTGATAAAAATGGCTTTGTTAATTTAGTCCGTGTCATCTGTTCACTGTAAGGATGACTAAGTCTGAAGTGATTTGCGTCACTTGCGTAATGCCAACAACTCATCATTTGTTATCAGCAGAAAAAAAAAAGTAATTTACGCTAGTTAACCCTCATTTACAAAGAGCTGTGGGCATTCAGCGAGCAATTGTTTGTCCCGCTGATCAACGTACTGGCCAGAAAAACTGTAGTGAAACATCAGCTGTGAGGTTCATTAGTATTCCAATACTGCTGTTCCTCTCCCTCCATCTGTTACATTTCTGTATGTCTTCTTATTAAACGAATATTGACTGGTTCTCTTTGATCCTTTTGCAGTCAGTGTACAAGGACAGGAAAAAAACATTTGTCAGACTGGTTTTTCAACAATAAACCTCAGAGACTGGCAATCTAACTATTGTGCTTTCTGTTAGTTCATATCAAAGACATCTCGTTTGTAAACCAAGGTTCACTGACTTCTCTCCAAGAAACAAGACCATGTAGTATGACCAAGAAAGGTACAAAGGTTGACTGGTTGTCCCTTGGAGGTTGCTGCTTTTTTTGTACTGCTGTGTTTCTGATGGTGAAAACTGTGCAAGTCAGCACAATTTGGGATGGTTTTTGGTGCATTGCTTAAATGACTAAGCAAATTCCAAGTGTAAAATGTCGCTTCAGAATTTAAAACAAATGACCTTACTCCCACAATCACAGCAATGCCCTGTACAAACTAGTGAAACTTTGTGGTCACAGAGTTGCACCGGGAGAGTGCTATAAAAAGACTCTAGATTCCTAAGAAAAGACTTTTGTGGGGTGTTCTGTATTTAGCCAAAAGGAAGTGCCCTGTGTGTGTCTGTGTGTTTGTGTGTGACTCACTGGCTCCTGTTGGTCTGTGTCTGCAGACCCACAAACAAACAGCAAAAGCCAGCTGGAAATGAGAAAAAAATTACATGCTTCTCCCCAGCCTCTGTAGGGATAATATAGTTCATGGGAAAACAGAGTCAGACAGGCGTACAGGCATGTGTGTCTGTGTAGCTACCACTACTGGTCTTTGGTGGAGCTCAGAAGTCAGTGTGTGCAGGTAACAATCAAGGGACGGCTCAATATGACTTTTTCATGTCCAATACGGATAAGGCAACTGGAGTGTCCATCTGTCCGTACCAATAATCATCCAATACCTTTTTTTCTCCTCCACCAGGGTGTGGGCTGTTGTTGCTGAGGCGATAGCGTCTCTTTTTGTGGCATGTCTCGAAAGTTAAGCATTTGGGTTGAGGTATCGGATCGACACATTGGAGATGGGTTTTTTCGATGTTTGATCCTGAAATCTTTACTAAGATCGGACCAATACTGATCTCAGGTATTGGATCGAGCCATCCCTAGTAACAATCAGGACTTCAGTGTTTTGCTTATCTTCTATAAAAGAGGTCATATGAGCAAAACTTTAAACCGTGTGTCAACATGGAGCTTTGCTGACCTTTAGAGTCACTTTGTGAAAGTTCTGATGAAAACTAAGATGATCGTTTGCTCTGTCAGTCCAAACCTGACTGTATTGGCTGTTTCTGAATCTGGTGCTGATTCTGAAAGTCCACCTAATCATCCGGTTCACAGTTACAATTGAAATGAAGATACACACCAACAAGCCCTACGTCCAAGTCCAACCTATTTCTTGATGTAAGAGTTTCTCTTGCACACACGTACTTATATTCCCCACCAGACCCATATCCTTTATGACAGACATCCTGTAACCACAAGGTCACAGGCTTCAGACCTCCACCAGCAGATGTGTCCATCATCAACCATCTGTCCTGTCAAATTGTCCTTGAACAGAAGACTGGAACCCCACCTGGTCCAGAGCCATAAGTGGCCTGGATTGGAAAATCAGCCAAAAGCCTAACAATGGAAATTATGTAACAGCGGAGGAGGAGGAGAATTTAGCCAATACCTGAAATATATACGTGCTCACAGGCTTGGCTAAAAAAACCAGGATCAATAGTACTGTTGATCTAAACCAGAGCTCCAAAAATGTATTTCTCTGCACAGGCTGAGCATATATCAGTAAACAGACTGTGATGTACAAGGAGGAAGCAGATTCAGAGTTGACCTGAATAGAGGGAAGGTTAAACAGGAAGCGAGAAAAGGGAGCGAAAAAAAGCATCTAGTGTTAAAATGATGGAGAGGGGTTCAAACAAGAAATGGACCTAGACATGAAAAAAAGTCTGTTCCCTGCTGGAGTCTGATTCATCTGATAAGAGCTGCAAACACACTGGTGATGAATGACCAGTGTCAAATCATCACATTTAAATGTTCCGGATCAGTGCACTGATTGCTTTGGTGTCTGTTCCCTTTGTAGATTTGTCTTCATCGAAAGCGTGTTTAATTATTTAACCAGTTGAAATTGATATTTAGCGTTTGTTGAACAAAAAGCAGTTCCATTTATGATATATATGTATATTTTATTAACAGCATATGGAAAGTGATATCAAGGACTTTAACAGAACATCTCTGATCTCTCTATTACTAACTTCACTTTGCATAGAAAAACATTTTTTGTTTTTGTTTTATAAAATACCAATATCGTACATATTTCTTGCATTGGTACCAAACTGATTGGTTGTCAGTAAACATAGTCGAGCTCTAAACCAAATCATGTTTAAGCTGAGGAATGTCATTTAAATATATTCTTAATATGAGAAATTCATTGACAGTTTGAGCTGCCAAATGTCAAAGTTCATGGTAAAACCCCAAAAACTGAATAGAAATTACGTCTTAATGACCACAAAGAAGAAAAACACGAGGTCGGACTTGGGATTTTAGTCATATCAGTCAGAGGTTCTTGTCAAGACTACTAAAAATTTGTCCCTAACAGAAGATAAGGAAATCTCTCAATCTCTTTTCTGGAGTTTCTGGAGTTTTAATGAACCATTATGTCTGAAAAAAAAAGGGTGGACAAATGTTGCACGTAAACACCTTCAAAGTAAATATATAATTGAACGTCTCCTTCACTCAAAGTCTATAAACTGTGCACATCAACGTTCTTACTATAATTAAGACTATTTTCTGCAGTAAAAACAGGAAATGGCACATCACACGATAATGGCGCAACCTCCAAACATTGTGTTTACCCGAGTCCCGTGATAACAAACATCATGTCAAACTGCAGCGCCGCAGTGTGACGTGCATCTGTTTGCTTCTTGTTTAAATTACCCAGATTGTCATCTACTCAGGTTTCCTCCTCTGCTGAGGAAAGATAACATCCGTCACTCTGTCTGTCCTCCAACGTCCCTCCTTCCACTATCTTGCCTTCTCTAAATCCACTTATCTCGCCGCTCTCATGATGATGATGACTGTTGCATATCTCTTCAATCTTAACAGTGCTGCTCACTATTTCCTCTTTTCGTTTTTCATCAGAATGTGATGTGTCGCGTTTAGCAGCCGCAAAGGCACCACTGAAGAGTTTTGCGTAAAACTTTTTTAACGGTTTCATTTTTAGTGTACTCCAAGTGGTCATACAGGAACTCAACAGTGCCCACACATAATAATAACAACTTTTATGCTTTTATTTTGAATTTGCTCTGAATTCTCCAACTCTTCCTACATTTTCTTTGACAGAATCTCCAAGAACATTCCCACCACCAAGGACGTGGAGCCACTGCTGGAGATAGATGGAGACATTCGTAGCTTCGAGGTCTTCCTGTCGTCCAGGACACCTGTTCTCACGGCCAGAGATGTGGACATGTTTCTGCCCTGCACCGTCAATCTGGACCCCAAACTCAGAGAGATCATAGCAGGTAACTGACTGATCAGAGTGTTGACCTTTGACCCAACCATCTTTACTCTGATACCATTAATGCTAGCAAGACTGTGAGCGATTTAAAGCTGGAGTCCGTATGTGCTGAAAATGTAAATTAAAAAAATCAAAACATCATTATTTGCTTTAAGAGGGAAACAGTTCAAGTCAAAAGTCATGACCCAAAAGATTGACATAATTTTCAGTGTCTGAGGAAAAAAGTTGGCGAGTCATGACCCAAAAGATTGACATAACATTGAAAACATTTTGTAAAATATTAACGTCGATATCAACAATAATATTTTGTTTTCAGTGTCTGAGGAAAAAAGTTGGCTTTAATAAAGTCAGAACTGTCCTCTTTGTGGTTTGTTGAGTTGCACACAGCTTCTCCTCACCGCCCTGTCCCCAGTTTGGCAGACTCATGTACTCATTGTAGCAGGGTCTCCTCCATAAATGCACACTGTTGGAAGCTCCAGCTTCTCCTCACCGCCCTGTCCCCAGATTCCGCTTTTAATTTCCAAACAATCAAATGACAAGCCTGTTTCAAGTACAGAACTGTGTGATTGTTATAATATTTAAATTCGTTCTCCTCCGTCTGCCTCAAGACGCAGGGCTGACATTCACAAGTGCAAGAAGAATGTCGATCTGTCGATCGTTCATCCCCACCAACATCAGGCCACTGTAATCTCTCTCTCCCTCCCTCTCTTTCTCTCTCTCTCTTTCTCTCTCATTTCTCAGTATGTACTACACTCTTTATCATACTACAGTGTTGTAATACGGGTGTTAGTGCAATATATTCTGCTCATGTGCAGTAACTGTCAAATGAGCATGTATCACATTCTTATAATTTGAATTCTTCTGGAACACAATCATTTCCCCGGTGCAGGATCAATAAAGTTCAACCTCAACCTTCAGCCAAACCTTCACAGTTTTCTCGGTTGCAGTGTCGTCATACAGCATCATTGTGGAGCCCTGTGCTTTTGCCTCCATGCGTCAGTGTTCACGTTGGCCATTCAGGCGTGTCAATGACGCCTAGTGTGATGCCGTTGCCTCACAGTGTTGTGGGACCACAGAAAACACAAATACACACAAAATCTGCTCCAAAATCCTGGGCCTGAGTCACTGAGGGAACAGATGACCAGAACTTACAACTAGACGTCTAGTCTGGTCCGCTCTACTGTACGTACCCGGCACATATGTTTATTTGCTTATGTTGACTCATGAGCAACGCAGGTATTTTCATCACCTCTTGGAGCAAAACAAAAACAAAAAAAAAACAAACGATCAACACTCCGCGCCCTTCCCTGCACGGCCAGGTACTTGGTGCGCTCTGTCCTGTGGTCAGCCAGTGGGCAGTGCTGTCATTGATACTCGCCCATGAGGCTGACTCACATCATAAGGCCCCCATTGTGTTCACAGGCTGGATTGGGTCTCACTCAGTGTGTCATTCAGCAGCCACTTGTATAACCAGGAGACATTCTGGTGCCTGCTTCTGTTTCTGGTTCGTACTTTCTTGCCAGCGACACAGAGCCGCTCTGTTCTGCCTCAGGGCTTATTGAACTTTAATTTGGGAGATTCAACCAAAAGCTCCCCACTCTTCTGGTCCGCAACTCCAAATCAAACTGATTTATGTGAAAACAATTGTGGCAGCACACTTCACTTCACACGGTCGGTGGTCTTTGGCCGTTTCATTTGTCAGGGAAGGCAAAGGGTTTCACGTGCCAAAGTTGTCGCATGGGTGGTGTGGAACTGGGAGAAGACAACGTTTCAACAGGCTCACTGTTTTATGACTTTAATGTACTAACAGACATCAAATAGGATAAAAAAAAGTTTTAGTTAGAAGTTGATTTATTCCTAGTATCTGTGCTTGTTTTCTCTCTGGTATTAGCTCTCTGATTGCCGTGTATTTTGGATAAGGAGAACATGTCCAGGAACAACGTTCTTATTGTATTCCCTGGTGCTTTAAGAATCAAGAAATTTCGCTCTTGTGTGCGTTGATCGTTTGATGTTTTTTTTCCCCCATGTCGATTTGCAAACCATCTAAAATCTCTTGAGATGATGAAATAAACCTAATTTATTGAGGCGTGGGTGGATCTGAGGGCTCTTTATAGTCATCGCCAAGACAAGATCGTCAGCATCGCTGATAAACACTTCCTTCTCTCCCTCTGCTCTTGTTCTTTCTCTGTCATTTCCTAGATGTGCGTGCGGCCAGGGAGCAAATGCACATCGGCGGAGTGACCTATCCCACGCTGCCCCTGCAGGAGGCAGTGCCCCGTCCCCAGTCAGGTTACAACCAGCTCTCCAGTGCCTTGTCCCCAGCAGGCTCCTACACGGGCTCTCTGCCTCCACAGCCTCACAGTGCCTACTTCAGTGGGATGACAGGTCCACAGCATCCATTCTACAACAGGGTGAGACACAATGGGAATTTGGGGTCAGATTACCAGATTCCGTTGGTTATTATTTTGTTAAAAACTCCCATCAGTTATCCATATTTATTCTGACCCCGCCCCCTTAAAAAATTACACTTCAATGTTGAAAGATTTTTTCCCCAAGAAACTTGTTGATTTACACAACAGGCCCAAACTCCCAAAGTAAATAGCTTTTTAGACATAAAATGCCAGACTGCTGTGCCCTACTGTCCTACAAATGGAGGTATTAACACAACACAAACTGAATCATTATTTTATTAATTAAAAGAAAAAGTGACATAATGAGAAACATATCTATTTCCTTTTGCCTGATCAATAATGGTTTGGTTTTCATTCAGTTTTGTTGTTGTGTTTCCAAATCAACGTTTGCTTCTTTAGCAGCAACAGAATAAACACTTCCTGTTACCACGGTACTCTCCAGTCCCTCCACACACCTGCCCGCCCCGATCTGTACTCCATCCGATGCATTGTAATGCCTCATTACAATGGAATCTATGTAGATCATAGATTATTCACATCACAACCACGTCTTTTTAATTAGCATCCCATGAAGCATAATTATTTTAGCATTGTTTTTGTTTCCCCAGTTCCTTTTTTTTGTCGCTTGTGTGTTTCATCTCCCTCATTTTATTTATTTGTTTCACCTTCTTTTCTCTCCCCACTCCCTCCCCTCTTTTTGTGTTTATCCCTGTAGCCTTATTTTCCCCATCATGTGTATCAAATGCCACGATCTTACTCCTATGTTCCCACATCCTCGCATCACTCCATTAAACCACCCGGCCATCCAAAGGAAACCACTGGACTTGTAAGTAAAGAAGCAGCGCTGTTGACTTTTGTCTTGGACTCAAGTGGGTACTGCAGCTACCTCACGTAACACTAGTGTCTGAATAATCAAACTGATTTAATAGATGAACTACGAAGGGAAACAATCAGAGCAGATTGTTATTATTATTATTGTTATTCTGGGCCTTTATGGCGCTAAGCTCACTCAAAATATCATTACAAGTACTATGCAGTAGCATAGTAGTTTTTTTTTAGCCTTTATACGCTCTAGGTATATGCCAGTGGTCAACAACCTTCAACATGAAAAAGAACAAAGACCAAACCAAAGGAGCAGAAAAGCTAAATACTGTCGAACTCATGACGAATCCATGAAAAAAACAAAACCATTTAATTATTAAAATAAAATACAAAAACAAAAAAAGCATCTTTTGTATTTATACTTTGGTTCTTCCCTGTTATGGACATAATGTTGATACCTGCCTAATTTTATTTAATGTAGGCCTAGAGTGGCGTCAGGTAAGAAATCCGTTTAAGTTGCATAGCACTTGTAATGATATTTTGAGCATGTTAAGAGGACTGTTACAGAACAAAATGGCATGATTTCCTGAAGCAATACTTGTCAGAAATTATCATTAAATAACACAACATTGAATACTGAAAAATATGATCCTATCAAAATGTTTCCAGGCTCCAGCTGCTCATGTTAGTGTATTTCTCATTATGTTTGTGAATCCAGTCTTTATGAGCTCTTCATTCAGTCCTTGTCTCAATGTCTTTGCCAATGTTAGGAAGTTATTGTGGAGGATGACAGGGAAAGCCTCCCCTCCTCCCCCACTGACCCCGCAATGGTAACCTGACCAGCGTTAGCGCAAGAACTTGCATTAGGTTGCACACGTAGACTTGTCATGATGTAAATAATTGCCTGCTGACCTGACGCCCGTTGTCATCTGTTTCGTTGCATGTTTAATATGTCTGCTAGTACAGAACGTCTGATGGAGAAAACTGTGGATCGTCACATCACTGTCAGATACAGAACACAGGAAAAACACAGACGTTTTTATTTCCTAAAACAACTGACGTCAAATGAAATAACCTCAGCTACTACACTCTGATATTCACACATTTTAAGAATAATGCAGCCACTGTTAGAGAACAACTTTCACGGTAACACTCCTGTCTTATCAGTGTGCTGCCAGTGTGCATTTAATAAAAGCCGTATGTGAGATTTAAATACAGATTTTTGCGTAACCCTTCATCACTCCGCTTCTCTAACTGCTGTATTTTGGGAGTTTAAAACCCAGAGCCTTCATGGCTTTAATTCTCTCTTGAATTTTATTCCAGATATACATCCCTCTGCTCTGTACCCCCCCACGCCCCCCACCCCTCTTTGTTCCTGGGTATAAATTTTATTCCTCACTCTCCTTTTCCCCCCCTCTGTTTCTTTCTTTCTTTTGGTCGTACATTAGCTCATATCATCGTCTTCTGCTTCCGACTTTATCTCCGCATGCAGAGCTCGCGTGAGCCTGTATTTTCTGCAAATCTGCGAACGTGGATGTGTGTGCACGCACACTCGCTCATTTGTATGTGACTCTTTGTCATATGTAAGCAGGCGGAGCTCAGTGTAATTGCCTCGCTGATATAAGTGAGAGTGTGGATTCCTGGGCCTGCCGGGATTATCATCAGAGCAACTGTTGGTGCTGGCAGCACACACACACACACACAAACACACACACACACACACACACACACACACACACAATGAGCCCAGCACTGGTAGAGCTTATCTCCTTACCAAAATGCTTCCTCCCTCGCAGAGCTCTGTTTCCTCTTCCCCATCCTTCTGCCCAGCCCTGAGCTCAGCCCAGCTGTAATTACATTCTTATCACACACACACACACACACACACACACACACACACACACACATTGAGAGAGGATCCCTAAGAACACACACATTTACAGACTTTTACACTTTTTGCTCTTGTTCTTAGATCACGTCCTCACAGTCAGAATCAGGCGGCGGTTTTTCAAAGCCTTTTTCCTGGAGTCAAACATTTGAGTGAGAAACGTCTCATTCTTCTCAGCGACACTTTCTTTCTTTGTCTGTCTTTGTTTCATCTCTGTCTGTAAAGATTAGGACTGTGAAAGCCTGTTTAATGAAACAATAACAAAATCTAGTAATAATTCAGCTTCCGGTAGCCTCGTTTTTTGTTTTACTATTATTATTATTATTATTATTATGTCTTGTCGGACTGAGCGGCGGACTCCGAGGGAGGCCGCGCCCCCCCCCCTGCTGTGAGGCAGATAAATGTCTGTCTGCACTGTTGTCAATGTCTCTCTTGTCCTGGTGATGATGACTTCAACATGTGCGCTGCTCAGCCCTGTTCTGTTCTTGTTTTTTTGTTTTTCTTTTCCCAGGTACACCCTCTCTGCCTGATACTGTGCTGAATGTCAGTGTGTTTTATTGTCTGACCAGTTTTCTGTTTGCTTCTCTTTGTCTCCTGGTGAAGCTTTTAAAGTCGCTGCCTTACAAATTAAAGCAGGTACACGTTTGGTTTTCACGCCCTTTCCATCAGAACATCAGCGTTGATTTCTACCCTCCGCCTCCGTCTGCTCCATCTTAACCTGGTAGACACTGATTTGTCAAGCATGCTGTAGAAGGACACAGAGTAGACTGGTAGAAACACAGACTCCTTTTCTGAAAAAGTTGGTACAGTGCTTACACGTAAGGGCACCAAATATTTCAAAATGTGGTTTGAAAAAAGCAACACGAGTGAGAAGAGATTTTTTTTTACTTTCAGTGGTTGTTTGATAAGTAGGTCAACTGTCAGCTGATTTTAGCGACAAGGTTTTGGTCTTTCCAGCGAAACGTATCCTCGCTCACTTCTCCGTCCCGAGGCTCCATCATGAAAACGGTCATTGTTACGTTTTACGTTGATCATCTACAGTTAAATATTTAAAATTCGAGCTGAAGCCATTCATTGATTAATCGACACAAATCGGATCAGAAAAGTATTCCATTACAATTTTCCTGAATCAAAGCTCAGTCTTGTTTAATTTCGTTACCATTAGCCAGGGCTATGACACTTGACATTTGTTCCACTGTTGTGATTCATGTGGACACTCGACGCCTCAAACAAACATGTCGTTTTAGATTTTATCGTATTTGTCTAGGACACTCGACGCCTCAAACAAACATGGAGTCGTTTTAGATTTTATCGTATTTGTCTGAAGTGTACCAACTTTTTGAAAAGTGTGTTTGTAAATATTAGTATCCTGTCCTGTAGTAGTACTGCATTAGACTCACTAACAAAGTAGTTTTATTCCAGAGTGAATCTAGTGTCGTGCGTATGAACAGTAATTTCTGTCTTCTGTCTTCTGTCCACTTCTTCCAACACGTTGGCGTCTTTCTCTGTGTACTGGGGTCGTACGTTCTGAGCTGTAACCGCTCACAGTCTGACTGGACTCTGTTTTCTCTCTCCCCCCAAATAAAAGCAAAACCCAAATGCGATGCCTTAATGTCTTAATGGTTGGAAATAGCCGAGAGATGGACGAGCGCAAAGATAAAGTGGGTGTGGGTTGTGAGTTGGTCCAGAGATGAGATTAAAGAGAAACGGAGGGATGAAAAAAGAGAGGAGGAAGTGGAAAGGCAAAGTTTAGAAAACAAAAGCAGAGCAGAAGGAACAGGGCAGAGGAGAGCAGAGGAGTGGGATCACGGCGGGTGTGTGAGGTTTGTTTAGGTTTGATGCCAGCAGGATGGCACGTCTGTCGTCTGCCAGGCCTTCCACAGCGTCAACAGGCCCGCGGTTATATTAGCCAGTAGCTGCTCGACAGCCGCCGCTCCGGCTCAGCTCCGCCACGGCCTCGCAGACTTTCTGACTCCGTCTCTCAAGTGTTGCTCGCACACTTTAGTTGCTTATGTATACATAAGGAAAAGAACAAGAGCAGGTAACAGTATATTTGGGTAGGTTGACAGCTGTTGTTTACACGTACCCTCGCACTGTGTGACCGATGGAGAGAGTTACAGTGTGGGATTGCAGTTGTACGTCCTCCTCTGCCTGCCTCACAGTAACAGGTCTGCATGTCCTCCCTGACAGCAATGGTTGCTTGTTTGGTAGTGAAGAGTGTTCCCTAACAGAGGGCGTTTGCTGGGGTAACCCAAATCTAACACAACCACCCGAACAAAGTGTATGTTTTTTTTTTCATTTTTATTCTTTTCTATTTTTTGATGCATGGATTTGCGCAGGTCTCTCCTGCCGCCCTGCTCAGCTCCATGAACACAGAGGCCGTGTGTGAGCGTCTGAAGCTGATGGACGGCATCGACTCCACCATGCTGCATCAGTACATCTCCACCATCAGGAGGGTGTGTCTTCTTTTTTGTCTACTTCTGTCCTTTGTCATATGCTTGAATGCGTTGTACAAGAGGTCTTAAAATTAAAAAAAAAAAAAAAACAGTCAGTGGAAAAAGTCTCCCTTGCGTTGCAGGCTAACATAAACGGTCGAGTGCTGACCCAGTGCAGCCTGGACGAGTTGAAGAAAGAGATGCAGATGAACTTTGGTGACTGGCAGCTCTTCAGGGGGATGGTAAGACTCAGTACATCCGTCATTGCCTGAACTTGAATGTAACAGTGTTTTTTTTTTTTTTTTGTTTGTTTGTTTTTTCACACAGACAGTTTGGTTCCTGATTCTTGCAGAGGAGCTCAGTTAGAGCTCAGTTAGAGCTGAGTTAGAGCTGAGTTAGAACTGAGTTAGAGCTGAGTTAGAGCTCAGTTAGCCGAGCAAACACACCTTAGGGCCGTACTCCAAACAGTCTCGTGAACACACTCTTGCCACTTTATTGAGTACCTTATATTAGGCCCAGACTGAACACTTTGTCCTGAGCACCGCCTTTGAACATTTTGGTGCATAAATTCAACAAGATTCTGAAGACCTGGCTCAGTGATTTTGGGCTGAATCAACTCACTGACATCAAATGTTTGCTGCAGATTTTTTTCAGCTGCAAACCAACAAAGCAACTTCTCCTGTTTTGCACAATTGTTTCCACAAAAAAACAAGGTTGATTTTCAGCTTTGTGACATGTGGAGTTTGACCATTAGAACCTAGACACACGAGTGACACAGATGTTTTCTGCACCATTACTCCACCAACACCAGCCTTAACATTTGTGACACTGAAGAAATCCAAACAGTAATCCAACTGGACAACATTTTTAGTTTTGGTGATCTCTTGCCTTAGATTATATATATATATATATATATGTTTTCCTTTTTTGGATCATAAATCCTAGCAGGTCACAAACTTTTCTGGTAACAACAAACCTGTTCAATCCTCCTCCTCCTTCGATTCTCAAGATTTCGTACCAACCCACTCTACATGCCATAATACATCAAATTACTGTGATGTAATAGGCTGATTAAATGTGCATTACAAGGCTGTTTAACAGCTGTACCTTATGAAGTGGCCGAGACATGAATGTATATATACAATACTAAGAAACACTGAATCTCCAAAGACTTTTATTTTGACAATCACATTGACGTATAAAGAGGCCTTTGTTACAGGGTGACAATCTGCTCGTTTTCAAAATAAAACCTCTTTTGCGCTGGTAATCGATAAAATCCGAAAATATGTTTTGGGTTTTTCTCTGTTAGGTCTGGTGGTTAGGGGCCTCTGTTTTGAAGTAACAATAAAACAAAAAACATCTCTGTCAGCGTTTCTCTATTGCAAAAGGAAACAGAACAAAACCACACAATATGACACATGATGCTGTGCTGAGATGAAGTACAGGAGATTTGATCAACCGTATTACAAGAAGGGGGGGGGGGGCGTCCTGCTGACTGAGCCGGGGGTCGGAATCACTAACACATGTGGCCGTCTCCACTTCCTCAGATACTTATCTGTGCTCCTAATACTAAAACAGTGTCTGGGACTGGTGACTCTCAGATGTAGATCTGATGCAGAGCTCACACAGGAGCAGCTGGACGCTGCAGCGGCCTGACAGCTAAACACTGTGGTGTTGCCAGGACGCAGCCAGCAGGGCCATCTGGTTCAAGATGGCTGACGGTTATCTGTGTGAAAGAAGGTTATTATCGTGTAGGAGAGAGGACAGATGAAGAACTTTACTTTAGGAAAAAGCTCCCGGTTCTCCTCTCCCAAGCACATGTTTTTTGTTTTGTTTTTTCTATTTGTCATTCAAACATTGTTTTGTGCTTGTGGTGTATTTTACGATGTAATTCAAATGGAGTTCTGTTGCATTTGGACAGGTGATGGAACAACGTCACGCCGAAAGCCAGGCTCTGCTCCAGGAAGACTCCCGCTCCGTGAGTGAGCAGGGCAGCTCCATTCAGCCCGTGGAGCTCAGGAGGCGCTCCATGGGAGGGGCCCAGTCTGAGGCCGCCGCCTTCAGTCTGAACCTCAGCTTTGAGGAGCTCAGCGGAGTTGGGCTGGAGGAGCCTCCCAGACACAGCACTGGCTCCCATTGGCCGGTCAGTCGTCTGATCACAATCATTTATACTGAATTTCTGGTTGTAGTTTTTATTTAAATCAAATCTGACAGCCTCCCACAGACGATGGTCTACTGATGTGAGCTTCAGTTCACGCCACTGTTTCTGTTGGGTTGGAGTCACTGCAGAGCAGTGAAGGTCAACATTAGCCTTGTCCTTTAGGAGACACGTCTTCACTGGTTTGGACATTAGCTTCAAATATCTTAAATATATTATGCCAATATCCAATAAGCTTATATTGTCCAAACACTTAATTTCCCTTCCCGACGTCAGCTGATACATGCAGCCGTTTTCCCCCAGAACTGGTGAAACCCAGGCATTTTGTTGTATGATTTTCATTATTGGAGGAAAAACTGATAACGGCCCTTAAAAATATGACATATATATGCTAATTTCCTCATGCTTCACACTCAGGAGCATCTTGACTTTTTTTTTTAACAAGTCTTTTAATTTGAATTACTCTAAATTACTCATTTCATCTGCAGCTGTAAATAGGATCACCCACACCTTAGGTCTGTTCTGTGTAATTCACACTCAGCCAGAAAAGGGTGAGTGTGAAAAGGCATTTGCAGCCCCACAAGTTTCACAAGTCCTATTTACCGATTTAGTCAGTGTGTTGGTGACCTCAGTGGTTTCACATGAATTTTGGTTTAAGAAGGGTGGGGTGGGGGGGGGGGGGGGGGGGGGGGGGGGGGGGGAGAAGAGGGTTGTTTTATATTTGTATTGAAAAATTAAAATCATACACGTAGGAACACAGAGCAGCGCTGGGCGTCTGGGGTCTCATGTTTGTTATTTTCACCTTCCTTATTCCCAATTTGCAAAATCTCCGAGACATGAGCACCAACAGTCACACAGAGACAGCTGGTCCTGCTGCTGTTGTTGTATGATCTCACTTTGAGATGTGTTTTAAATTCAAATCCGCAAAAAGACTGAAAACACAGCATGTCTTTCGTCGCTGCCTGGATTCGTTCTCACACTCAGAGAACATCGGTTTCTATTATTGTGCTCCGCCCAGTGGCATGTTTTCTAACATTCACTCCACAAACTTTACATGGTTGTGAAAATTAACTCTTTCTTTTCTTTTTAATGTGGTCAGGTGACAAATCACCGCACCTCCAGCATGTCCAGCCTCAACTCCCAGGAATCGTCCAATGACATCTGCAAGCTGACGGACAAGCAGCAGGACGAGTACCGCGACGCCTACAGGGAGTACATCGCTCAGATGGCCCAGCTGGAGATGTCCGGCAGTGGAGGAGAGAGACCGGTGCAGCCCCATCCTCTGCACTTCATGCAGTCCAACGGTTCAGAGGACAAAGGGGTGGGTGAAAAGGTCACGTGAAATTATCAACCGCTAAATAAGTTAAGTAGATACCAACGTAATCCGTTCCAGGACGGAGCTCGTAACTGAATCATGTTTTCCCATAAGAAATAACTGAAAAGAAATTAATCTGTTATAAAAATTATAGTCTATACGGATTCCTGTGATATAAAATAAAATGTGGTTTGAATTATGAGTTCTTACCTTCGACACAGACGATACATTAGCGGCTAATGATGGCATGTGTGGAGGAGGAGGAGGAGGGAGAGTTGGCCTGTACCTAGACACTTGATTCCGTAGCGTACCTCACACGTACACGATGTAACTTAGATACTTAAATGCCATATTAGAAATAACTTACTTTTTTATTTTTTATTTATTTATTCATTTATTTTTGCTAAATTTCTATTCTGTCTTTCGCGGGCACCACGCTCATATTTATGGACAATTTCATGCTTTATTTCCATGGTCATCATGTGTTTCTTCTTCTCACCACCATCCTTACCACTCACTCTTAGGACTCACTATTATGAAGAATAATGCACAAAAGAGAGAGAAAATCACGTAGATAACGCAAACACAATACGGAACAGTGAGGCGGCGTCGGCGTCCGTAAGCTCGTATCTCCAGTCTTTACTTGTATCTTGAATCACAAATGTGCTTGAAGTTTTTACTCCTATCTTGAATCACAAATGTGCTTGAAGTCTTGCTCGTATCTTGAAATACTCGTATGTCGAGACGCTCGGATCTCAAGGTTCCACTGTACCTCCTATAAACTGGGGCGCTGTGCCCCAACAGTCACCTCAGGGTACGATGTTTCAGATAATATTTTTCTGTTTTTATCTAAATGGTAGTTCAGTTCTTATTCCAGACTGCGACAGCGGGGAAGCGGTCTCTGTTTAGCTTCTTAAATGTTGGCTTAAGCTTTCAGTTTGTCTTGGCAAGTGGAGGAGAGACAGGAGTCCCTTGTACGGAAGCTCCTCTGCCAGTATGACAGGATACTGTGTATTTCTATGGTATTCTGACTCAATTATCCTCCCAACCTCACAGGCCAAGGAAGGAGCAGACCAAGACAGCCGCAAGTCCCTCACCAAGAGAGGATCCAAGCCCAGTGACTCTGTAGATTTCCCCTCCGCCGCTGACGCCCAGACTCTGGACCCCATCAGTGAGGAGGACGAGAGGCTGGACCACAGCTCGTCATCCAGGACCCCGGCCTCCAGGAAGAAGGGCGTGGGCTCGTACTACCACAAGCTGCCCAACGATGCAGACTCTGGCCCAGAAGAAGAAGACAACACTACACCTCTCCTCCAAAAAGATGCCAGGTCCGCTTCGGGTCTCTCCTCCCAGAAGACCCCCCAGCTCACCGGGCCCCTGACCAAGCCAGGATTCCTCTCCGAAATCCTCCTGGATAAGAAGGACTCCTCCGACTCGGGGATGCGCTCCAGCGACAGCTCATCTGACCGATCCTCGGATCGCTCCCTGGAGGAGTCTCAGGGAGATGCCCCGGAGTTGGAGGGTCTGGTCTTCAAGAGGGGCCTTCTTCCCAGCAGCCTCAGCGGCCTGCAGGACGCCACGGTGGCCCGCATGTCCATCTGCTCCGAGGCTCCGTCCGAGGCCAGCCTAATGGCCAGCAGCCCGGAGGAAGTGTGGCCGTCCAGCGGGGTCAACAACCTGAACCGTGCGGACAGCAGCACCACCCTCGACAACAACAACACCAACACCAACAACAGCCGGCAGCAGCAGACCACCCCCACCACACCCTCCCACGGCATCGACGTCTCACCAGCTGTGATCATCACCCCTGGCAGCAGCAACACCACGGCCGCCACCATCCACAACCAGAACCTGCGCAGCATCAACCTGGGAGACGAGAGAGAGAGCGTCCTCTGAGGGTGGAGGGTCTGATCGACTGGGTCCATGTTACAGTTGTCGTCGATGTTGTCATTGATGTTGTGAAGCGTAGACTGTAGAGTAGATGATGATCGTTAGGTAGAGGTCAGAGTAGACGGTGTTGTCTGTAAATCAGTGGTGAGATTTAAAAAAAAAAAAAGCTAAGAAAAGAAAAAGCTTCTAGTATTCAGTAGAACTGGATCTGAATCTGGATTAGAGTCAGAGTCGTGTTTGTGTGTTTGAATCCGCCTGGTCAGGACTGGAGCGTCTCACCTCCGTCACGTTACAAAGGCGTTGTGATACTGTTACAGTGCGGGTTCTCATGTGACCGTGGAAACATTAGAATTGTTGTTTGGTAAGAAGTGGCGTTACAGAAATAAAAATGTTAGAAATAAACGGTATCTGTATGAAGTCGTTCCTGTGGTGAAGTAGAACTTTGGTCCGAGTCTGAAGTGGTTCTGGTGTTTTTTCCAACGTTCATGTGAAAACTGATTTGTGAATCAATAAACATTGTGTTGATGTGGACGTTTTTTTGTATTTTCTTTTCCTAAGTCACCGTCCTGATCCAGACCTGACACTGCAGCCATCATTAGAATGATTCATTTAATAACTAGTTTGATTTTACTCACTTGTTCCTCCAACAGTACTGTCAGCTCGTCTGACTGTACAAAGATTACAGTATACGTCTGCCCCGGCTCCATTTTCTCCCCCTCTGCCGTCTCCCACATTTTCCCCCCTCTTTCTCTCTCTCTTCCCAGGCCGACGGCTGAACACTGCTCCTGGATCTGCTGGAGGTTTCCTTCTGTTAAAAGGTACTTTTTCTTTTTTCTATATTGTTGCCAAAAACGTTTTTCTGCTTTTTTTTCAGGTAATATTTGTGAATCATATTCTGTGCTACTTTGTATTTTTAATATAAACCTTTTCACTGAAATAGTCTTTATTCTAATTGAATGTAAAGTTCCCTGAAGTAAAAAAATGTGTTTTTGTAAAAAATAAAATTAACGTATTTTCCCCATTTTGCATGGAAAAAAACCCTGTCCATTTAATCAACAAATTAAATTTTAAATTTTGTTTTCAACAGTTGCAAAGGTTGGGCATGCTGACCGACAGATGGCGCGCTCTCCATACAAACGTCAGCGTGACAGTCGACTTCAACTCAGTGACTCCTGGATTTGAGTGCGTAAATCGACGGGGGATTTTGGTGAGACTTTACTGTAGAGCTTTTTTCTGTTTTTTTAAACGACTAAACCATTTTTGTTTGTTTGACTTTTTTTTCTTCTTAATTCGCTGCTTCGGGCGCAGTGACTGAAACTAACGAGTGGATCAGGCGTCATTTGTGTTGAGACGTGATGATCTGATGATGTGGGTCTAAAGTCTAAGGTGGGGCGGGGGGGGCTCTGTGCTGTTTTGACAGCATGTGTAACATCTCCACCACCGAGACCTGTTCCCGAGTCCAACTTCAACATCGGACATTTTTCCCAGCATCCGTTATGACAACAACAAGTTCAAGTTTTTACATGACTTTTAAATATATCTCTTTTTTGTTTTTTTTTACTAGTAATAGAAGCTCGGACTGTCACATCAAAACAGTTTAATCTCATTAACTCGTACAGATCATGTGAGGCGGACAGAGTGCAGCCACTGTGCCCGAAATCAGCTTTAATGCAACCGTGCGCCTCCAGGTCGTGGTTTCCGCCCGAGTCACATGTTCTCTGTACATAAAGCGCGCTTATGTCCCAGTATTTGTGGTGGGGGGGACACCAGCTGGACGAAAATTGTTTAACGCACTGGTTTAATGTCTGTGACCCCCAACACCCCCTCACCCATCCATCCATCCTCCCCCGAAATAACACATGTCCAGGTTGTGTCTTTTGATTTATTTTTGTATAAAAAAGGTACAATTTACATTACTTTTATAAAAAGTCTCAGCATAATTAAGTACAACATTACACGTTTGCAGAAGTGTCAAATTCCTGCAACTATACAGTAAACTCCCGACGAGAGTCGACATGGTTTCAATCTTTCATTTTCTTTTTTTAAACTTTTTTTTCAACCCCCCTCGTTCGTTAAACAACGTCCAGTCCTTCATGTGCCAACGATTCTGACAAGACAAGACTAAACTTTTTTTCTTTTTTTACAGTAATTAACCAAGTTGTCTTTCTATTCACGTTCCGAAGCTCCGCAAAAAAGCGAAGATTTTCAACAAGGAGCGGAGAGGGAGGGGGGACAAGAAGGTGACGGACAGGGGAGATCATCCTTTTAACAAAAATCTGTTTTTTTTCCTCCCACTGACGGGAATATAATGCGCCTTCCATTTCCAGAAAGGACCCACAAATAAAGTTTTAATTTAAATAATGTCCAAGAAAAACAAAACAAAAATAAACAATGCACATCACATAAAGATTGTCCCATATTAAGCAAAAAAAGTCTTTCGATTTCAACGTGGGGGGGGGGGGGGGGGGGGGGGGGGCAGTGGACGGGGGTCCAGGCCTGGAGGACAGAGGTTGGACAGGAGGAGACGGGAGTTGTGGGAGAGCAGAGGAAGAGGAGGGTGGGGAGGAGGGGGGGGGAGAAAGTCCTGCTCCCCAGGTCCTGCGTGTGTTTTGCGTCCTGACCAAACACCTGCAAAAGATTGAGAAAGAGAGGCGTGTTTAGAAAATGCAAACAGGGCAGAGATCCGGACAGACTGGCGCCAGGGAGGAAGCCGCAGTTTTTAACATTTAACCAAACACTCCCAATACTAAGCAAACGCTGCGCTCCAGATGTACACACACACACACGCGGAGAGAGAGAGAGAGAGAGAGAGAGAGAGAAGAGAAGGACACACACACTTTTCACACAACTTCAACCTACAATCTGGGGAGGAATCAGCGTAATTGCCGCTCAGCTGGCGCCGACCCACTTCTTGTACCAATTATGTGCAGACATCGTAGTAGCAGTACTCCAAACAGTACTCCAAACAGTACTCCAAGCAGCCATTATTACTCCGTTTGCAGATGATGTTCATTACAGACACAAGCCCGACGACTGTTTCTGCTTCTACTACTCGTGGCTGCCGAGGAGCCACGGGCTCCACTTTTACTCCACACTCAATGGGCGCAAGATCATGTGATGAGTCACGGAATCATCGGGGCTTTGACGGGTCTGGACCTGGGACACCTTCACGGACACTGTCCAGGTCCGAGTGCAGTCCCGGGATGTGTCCCGGGGCTGCTTCTACACGGAATTAAAACGCGTGAACCCGACACTTGGGTCCAGTCCACCCAGGCCCGTGGTGTTGGTGGGGGGGTCGAAGATTTCCCGCCACAACCACTAGACGTAGAAGTTTGAGTAAATAAATGGAAAACGATTAGAACCCGCGGGCTGTTCTGGAGCACTGTTGACGGTGAGACATTCTGCTCCAACAGACTGAGAGACAGAGAGGACAGAACGACGCAGCAGCAGCGGCAGCAGCAGCGGCGGCGGGGCTTTTACTCACCGCGTTAACGATGCAGAGTCCGGCTGTCATCTGTCAGCAGCTCTGACGGCAACTCCGGGGACTGAAAACAAACAAAAACAAACAAAGCAAAAATGTTAATTCTCTCTCTCTCCGCTTCTCTCCCTCTCTCTCCCACTCGTTCTATCTTCTTTTTTTTTTACGCAGCATCCGATTACAACGTCTGGCGCTGAAACAATACAGTTATGTAGGTCGATTATCTTCTTCATCTCGTTTTGAACAAAAGACGAGAGAAAACAGAACAAAAAAACCCAACATGTTTCTTTTTTCCCCTCCTGGTTCTTACCAACAAGCCATTTTGTGTGACTTACGTACAGCGGCTCCAGGAGCGCACTGGTTAAATGCGCGTAAAGCCGACAAAATGGGACTGAATATCGACCACTACACGTCCGACTGTGTTTTCTCAGGATGTGGGTGCAGGTTCGGGAGGTTCGGTGTAATTACCTGTAATGACAGGATGCTGATGTCTGTGTTGAGGGTGGTCAGAGGGGTCCTGGATGGAGCTTGCTGCTGCTGCTGCTGCTGCCCCGGCCGTGCGGGGTGATGCAGGCTGGCGAGGGCGACACTAGAGTCCCGCGCGATCTGGAGGGCGAGGGAGTCGTTGGTGA